ACTATCTCAGTCAACTCATACTTTATTACCAGCAAAGCGTGGAAAACAACCGCTCTGACAAAAACATAATTTTACTCTCCAAAAACGTGGAGTTCACATTTGCATCTCAAAATACATGGTCAACACAATTCACTGTTCACTCATGCTACCTCTCTGTTTTCATGTGAAAACATAGTCCGTTACAACATTCTTACAAACTAAAAGGTGATGGACTAGACATAATGATGTTCAGAGCTCAGGGTTACGAAAATGCTGCCAGAATGCCTGGAATCCGTGGAGGTGTTCAGGCCATGCTGAAAAAAAAATAAGAAGAAACCAATTTTTAATGAATGTGTGGGCCATTCACTTAACTTGTGTGGTCAACACTCTTTTGCAGGAAATGCTTCATGTATTACATTATTCGTGACTCTTGAAATAATATTTTCCTTCTTTGCTGCATCCACACATCGATGGAATGTTCTAATTGAACACATTGGAATGTCATTGAAAAGATTGTCAAAAAACGCGTTGGACTGCTCATCATGTTAAAACAGTGAAAGATGATTTTGATGAATGTGTGGCGGTGATTGAAGCTCTGTGTAATCCTCTTAAAACTTTGAATACAAGATGTGCAGTACAAGGTCTTTTACATGCTGTCTGTGATTTTATGTTTATCTGCTACCTTTATCTTTTGGCTGATCTACTTGATAAAGTTAATCTTACACAGCAGTAACTGCAGACTTAAGGGATTGCTCTTGACAAAGGGTTGACAAATCTAGAAGCCTTAAGATTGTTTCTGCACGAGAAGCGCCGTCACTTGGTGGAACATGCTATTGAAAAAGGCACTTTTAAAATCAGACCAATATGGAGTTTCGGTAGAGAAAAGATTAAGGTTTAAGAAGAGAAGGGCAGGAGAACAATTAATAGATGCTGAACTCATACTGCGAGAAGAAAAAAGTAGGGATATGTTGGAGTATATTGATCGCTTTCATTCAGAACTCCAGATGAGATCATCAGCGATCAAGGAAGTACCAGATATTTTTGGGGCTGTTCAACACAAAAGTCTAGTATCAGCAAGTGAAGAAGAAGTATTGGTGTCCGTTCCAAAATTAACTTTTTTTCTATGATGAGTATCAGAAGATAAACTTTTAAAAGAGATATCAAGGCTTAGAAGACATATAAAAGAAGCTGATTTCTCAAAGTCATGGATTGGTCAGTACTTGATATTTTGAAATTCATAGCTGAATGGGACTTTCTAGAATCTCTTCCAATACTCTTTCTAAGCCTTTAATATTTTTTAAGATATGTGTGTATGCGGCTCAATGTGAGTGGAGCTTTTCAAAACTAAGGCTTATCAAGAAATTATATTTATGATCCACCATGGGACAGTCAAGGTTTTCTGATGTTATAAAATTGTATTTAATGCCTGATGCAGCTAACTGGAGGCCTGAGGCTAATTAAATTTTGAGGTCGCTCGCACTCAGAGCTCCCCCACCCCACCAAAAAAAAGGGAAGTACTTTTATACTTTTTAATTTGTACTTAACTGTTGTTATACTGTTATAATTATATATTTTATTTATATCTAATATCAAATTTCTTTAAAAATTACATTGTACCACCTGGAATGTGTTCATGATTCATATTATTAAATAGTCCCCGCGATGCCTCACCAATAAAAGTGGACAGAAGAAGAAAAAAATTAAATAGTTTGTTTCGGAATATATTTTAATTTAAAAAAAGAAAAGAAAACAAATACTATTGTTTAAGTTCATTTAATTCTTAATTTTTTTCAAAAACCTCCAACAGTGAACTGTGAACAGTTGAGCAAGTACTCATTAATGATTCTGATCTATTAATAGTTTGCTGACTTTATTAAAATAACGTAACACAACACCAACAAATGGGAAATGTATCATAAGCAATAATCAGAATTCGTTCGTCTTCTGCAAGAGATTATTGGCTTGTGCCCTGGTATCATTACTCTTTCCATTAACACCAGAGCATGAATAACAAAGGCATCAGTGATAGCACCGTAGCTTACATTAACATCGGAGTATGAATGGCAAAGGCATCAGTGATGGCGTGCATCTTTCCAAAAATACCACATCTATGTTAGGCCTAGTGTGACAGTTTTAAATGATTTGTACAACTGTCCATCTCTGTGGGACAACTAGAAATTCTAAGTCTTTGTTAATCTCAAAACAGTTCACTGCATCAATGATATTTTAGAGAAACCTTCAAATACAATATCTTGCGAGACCAATCAAAGAGCGATATAAAAAAAGATTTTTATTATTTAAAGACTACAGCGGTTATTTCCCCCTTAAAATTCATATACTTATTGTTAGACTATTCAGTTTAACATGCTTTGTTTTAATATGTGTAACTGATGAAAAATTTTTAACAGATGTTTCATATGATAATCAAAGATTCATCTTATTCTTAAGAAGACCTCAGGGCTCTGTCACAAAATACCCAGTTTGAAATAATCGAGTTTAATTATTCTTTCTGTCTATATTAATAATAGTATTATGCCAATAATATCCAGAGCCAAGCAACTCATTCCAATCATTAATTTAGCTGATCATACCACCACAGTTGGCTAAATATCTGAAGGGAAACGCAATATACCGCAACATAGTTTCACGCTTTATCAGATGGTGCGGTTGCAATTTTGATTGTCTGAAAAGAAAGAATTGGCTATCGATTTCTGAAGGGAGCTTCAAGCGATAGCAGATATCACAATAAATAATTGCAGGATAATGCAAGTAGAGACATATATGTGTCCTTAAAAAATTGTACAATTTTGGCGGTAACAAAAAAAGTTATAAACTTATTCTTCAATGCAACAATTGGATAGGTCTTCCAAACTTCATTAATTCCTGCTGTTGTGGGAATTTATCGTCATTGTCTCATATAAAACAACGATTAAATTGAGTCATTAAAAAAAACGATAGTGATATCAGATACAATACCACACAAACTAAAAAATCCTTCACCTGAAGAACTATTTGAAAAAAATAATTCTTTCCTTTAAAGTTAGGAACGAGAGATATAAAAATTGTTTTGTTCCCCAGTCTGTAAGAATTTACCAGCGAGCTCCCCCAGAGGTTACTAAATCTAAGTGATCTCTAATTAGTCTAACTAAATTAAGCTATTTATTCTCACTAAATGAGTTGCTTTGGGAGGGGGGGGAGGGGGGTTGTGGGGTGGGGATGTAATATTATTATGATAGTTGATTTTTACCATACAGAAATCCTTTATATCTTGTGTTTAAATTGTTCTAATTGTAAAATGTTGTCTTGGTTAAAATATGTATTACGTATTTATTAAGGATCTGAAGATGAATATGTTTAGTGTAATTTAAAAAATGTCCATTTATTTGGATCAATAAAATAATGTTATCTCATCTTCTCTGATCATTCTTATTTTTTGCCTTGTTTAAATCAGGGACTTGGGTTAATTTTAATGGATTAAATGTATACATACAATACACTTTGCTAAACCGGATAAGAAAAGGTCATAATTTACATTGATTTCCACACAACCTGACCGACGTACTTGTAGCACTAAGATAAACGTGTAGCATTCAAAGAGAGGTTATTAAGCAAGTCATGTATTTTTAAGGCGACAGCATTTGTGCCCCTTCTAACGTGTCATATTTGATGCTACCAAATTGGCTCAGACTTTTTAACTCTTTCGAACAGCATTTCTACTGTTTTTAAATTAGTTATCGTTACCATGAACTGCAATTTTATAAATATACATTTTAAAAGACATAAAATCATTTCACAAATCCAATCAGCCAGAAGACAGTAGTGATATTTAGTAGTGACATTTATTTTGGATCGATTATTTTAAAAATACCAAACACTTTTGTTATAGAACCATCATGCCAAATACATATTCTGATGGGCATAAAAACTCTTACACCAACCAATGCATTTAAATCAGTTCTTTTCAAGGCATATGTGCATATAAATAAATTACAGATTAAACAGACCATAAATAGATTATTTACAAATGATATACAACTTTAGAACTACATTGGATAAAACTCAGCACAGATAAGAGAGGTCAAGTCAAAACAACCAAACTGTTTTATATGTTCAATATTCAGTAATCTCCTAAGTAGTACATGCAAGTAAAAAAAGCCCCACTTTTCCAAAGCTTAAAGATTATAATATTAAGTGCTGGGTACTGGGTGGCCAAGCGGTCAAAACTGAGCCAATCCTCCTCTGAAGTTCAAGCATACGCATCTCCAGGTGGATGGGATCTTGGAATGCATTATTTTCTAACCTGATTGCAGTCACTCCCCTTATCACCATGAAAAACAATGTGGACAAGCCAGCAAACCAGGTTGATGACTCTCATATCTTTGGTAAAATGGTTTTTAACCCCCCCCCCCCCCCTCCCCCAAGCATGTGAAGAAGTGTATAGCATGGTGGAACCACTAGTTGGTCAAAGGGTTGAAAATGGGAGACAGACTGTTTCAGTTTTATATCACATTATATAAATTATAGGTTTGCCTATGATGTATAATCTGGTCCTGGCGATGAAAGCAAACTTAAGTCTTTTGGCTTGGGAATAAATCATAAATAACACAGATGTAGATACATTTTTAAAAAGTTTAAATTTGTATAAATAACAAACCAGCATCTTTAACCGTTTTATATCATTAGAAATTAAGAACATGTCCTGAAAACAAAAAATCCATTCTTTATTTCAGAGTACAGATAATAGTGACATTTTTGTACAGCTCATGTAGGCCCCCTTCACCTTCCCAAACACACACCTTTGTTTTTCAGTTAAGTGTAATTTGTGCCCAAGTATACATTCTTAAGTACATACATAATTTATATTCTACAAGTTTGAATCAAGTACCCCCACCAACCCCCTCCTGCCAGTGGACCATGGGGTGGGGTGGGAGGTGGAGGAGCAGAGACAAAAAAATTCTGGTGGTCACAAGTACATTACTTGATGTTATAATTTAGGTAATTAATAAGAAGTTTGAATGTACATATACAACATTAGAATTACCTTCTGATAAAACTGAATTATAACAATAAATATGTCCTCATTTCTTGATAGTCCTTCCATGGACACATACTAGGATTGCTCAAACAACACTCCCACATGTAGATTCTATTTGTGTAAGACCAACCCCGAACACCAATTTTATTGACATCAATCTATAAAGATGTTCTGTCTTACTACTATGGAGACCTTCTGTCTCACCATTTTAAAGACATTCTGCCTCTCCATTAAGAAGACCTACTTTATCATCACTATGAAGAACTTCTTTCTCACCATTATGAAGACATTTTGTCTCTCTGTTGTGAAGACCTTCTGTCTCACCATTATGAAGTCCTACCTTCTCACTGTTAAGAAAACATTCTGTCTCACTGATCACGTAACCTTCTGTTTCACCTTTAAGGTGATCAATATCCCCAATAACCTGTCCTTCTGTCTCCTCATTCACATGAGATTCTATCTCACCATTACATTGATCATTTTCATTTATAACTTGCCCCATCTCACTAATAACTTGGCCCCCTGTCTCACTTATAACTTGCCTCATCTCACCAATGACATGACCTCCTGTCTCATCATTAACTTCACCTTCTGCCTCACCACCTATTTGACCTTCTGTCTTAGCTTTAACTTGACCATACCCAATCTCAATACCTAGATTTACATCTCCTCCGTGTTCTATCACTGCAGCCCTGCTGGGGTTATGCTCAGTCTCCAACTGGCCCTTACTTCCATCAACAACACCATCACCTTCAGATGAATGCCTTGTGTTAAGTCCTCTGTCAGCCTCCACCAATGCATCCACCATGCCATTGTACCTCTGCTCCAGGTCAGAGTAAATGGCCTCCATCACCTCATCCACATGAATCCGCTCCTTCAAGGTCGCCCTGCTCATAATTGACCTCCGTTCTGTAAACCCCGACTGCGGAACTCCCACAGTTTTCCCTGGTTCATGACTCGGTGAAGCTCTGACACGGTTTTGTCTCCTCACCTTTGACCCAGTCGGAGCTCTAGATATTTGACCCTGGATCAGATCACCAGCCATGTCTTCTTTCACCAAGTCGCTGCTCATTCTGTCATAACGCAAATGACTTTCACCCAGACCCGTCGACTGCTCAAGGTCACTCTCTTGCGTTTCATAGAACTGAGATTGCTCTGTGACGGGCCGAGACTTTCCTGAAGTTGAACCAACTGATGAGTCCATCCTGTCGAGGCCAGTCAGGGCCTCTAACTCTTTATCGGCAAAAGGAGTAAAACCTGTACATTCCCGACTGGTGGGCTCAGGGCTGCTGCCGCTGCCATCTCTGCTGAGTTTCAGCTTTGGTCGAGGTGTTGTAGCATGAGAAGTGGGGAGAGAACCTTGAGCCTGGGATCGAATATTTCTCAGAAGGTTGTCTCTCTGGTCATTTAATATCTACAAAAACAAGGACGAAAATATTATGTGGGACTTGTTTTAATTGTTCAAATTGTTGGTTAGTTTTATGTTACAATGACTAAATCATAAAAAAAAATTGGTTTGTTTAAAAGGATTAAACCATCAAGAAAATTGACAGATTTGGGGTAAACAACTATGTTGCGCTTCATATAATTATCTGAAAAGGATTTTCCCAATTCAAGAGAAATATTTTTTTGTAATCCCATTTTAACAGATCAGTACAAATTCACACATTTATTAAAAAAGACAAACAAATAGACTCAATGTGTTGACTTAGTGTTAAAAAAAAAAAGCAACCAATTTTAGGTAGAATTTAGGGTCAAGTTGCTTTTTGTTTTTTTAACACTAAGTCAACACATTGAGTCTATTTGTTTGTCTTTTTTAATAAATGTGTGAATTTGTACTAATCTGTTAAAATGGGATTACAAAAAAATATTTCTCTTGAATTGGGAAAATCCTTTTCAGATAATTATATGAAGCTCAACATTTGTTACAATATTTTTATATTTAATTGGCATTATCAATTGTCAGTAATCACATCATCATCCTGCCCACATTCTCTCTCTAAATCAATATCCTGCTTACTTTCACTACATCAAATTCTTGCACAACTTCATTACTGTACCTAAATATGCTACACAAATTCACAACCTCAGTACTTGCACGCATATATTAGCTCCATCATCCTGCACATTTTCATTACCTCAATATCCTTCTCTGTCTGACAAACCATTCGGGCAAGGTGTTCTCGCCTGGTCTCATCAGTCTCATTAATCAGGATCTGGGATGCGATGACATTCCTTGTGCACAGCTTGTTGATTTCCTCCTTGATTTGTCTGACTGTGTCCATATCTTCAGATACACTCACACCAAACTTTGTCAGAGCAGACTTCATCTCACTGGGGATGAGAATGAATGATGAGAGTGGTTGTAATTCTTTTAGTATGTCGTAAACATCAAAATCATTGATCACTTCTGCCTTAGAGAAAAACAACAATGCATTTTACCACACACATATTTCACTTAAAATTATAGTTTTGCATGGTTTGTTTTATCTATGGCAGAAAGCATCAACTAGTTTCTCAAATGATTTTTAAATAAACAAATAAAACTAAACCAGGGGAAAAAAGTTAGTTCCATCGTTTTGATCCATTTCTGCTTGGGTGGGTTTGTACTTACTCTCTAACCATGCTGTTTGACTCCACCAACAACCGTTCTTGCAGTGCCAGAATGACATCGTCATCAGACACATCCAAAAGTTTTAAAGAATGACAGGCTTCTGCCCTGACCCCTGCCTGGTCCTCATATCTTAAGGCCCAAAGCAAGCATTCCTTGATGTCATCATTGATTTCACCAATTTTTCCCAGAGCTACAGTTTCAGAAAATTATAGGTTTCAGTTGTTGAGGGTAGCATTAACTATTAACAAATCTAAGTTAATATTTGAAATGGATTCTAAACAATCATTAATAAACATTTTATTGTTGGTTTAAGTGATCTCCATAAAATTCTGTTCTTTTTTAAAATAAAATGTTGGGTTTCAGACAAAGCCATAGTAGATTCAGACAGCCACAGAAAATAGTAGATTCAGACCAAGCCATAGATAGAAGTAGATTCACATACAGCCATAGAAAATAGTAGATTCAGACACAATCATAAAAAATAGTAGATTCAGGTACAGTCAAGATAACAGTAGATTCAGACACAGTCATGTATGATAGTAGATTCAGACACAGTCATATATTATAGTAGAAGAGGTTGGTTAGGGGGGACCATTTTAGTGATGGAGTAGAAAATTATAAATGTGATTGACATGAAATCTTCTTAGCTTAAACTTAGGTTAACAATATGAATGATCAGGTCCTAATTTCTGATGTTTTTCAAAAAACTAAATTGGTTAATAATAATGCATGTTTACTTTAAACTCTTTTGAAATCTTAGCTTATCAAAGCAATGAAAAGAAATTTAGTAATGTTCCAATTGCTACCAATTTAATAGTACGTCTCAACCAATTCAGTTTATTTCTTTCTCAAACTTTAATTACTTCAAATGTTTTTTTTATAGTAGTATAAGTCAATTTTTCTGAATAATAAGACTGATAGTCTTTGGGTTTGTAAAGCAACAAATGCGGTAAGGGGACTGATATAATGACAAATTTAATAGGGCAACTCAAAAAATGTAATAAAAAAAAAAAATCACCTTGCATTGCCAGAGCTTTAACTTGCCAAATAGGATCAAATGCAGCCAAATGGACGAGCCTGTTGAGTACTTGTTCTTCCTTGATTTGAAGATTTCCACATGTTCGACAAACTTCAATGCGTACAGAAACATATGGCTCAGAGAAACAATCTAAAAATGCTGGTAGGAGTTTACTTGTCATAAGACCTGCAAATAAGACAAGTTCAATGATTACAAACCATGGAAACTTATAGATATTTTTAATTTTTGAAGAGATTCTTTTAATCTTAAGTTCATCTCATGATTTCAGTCAGAAGTGCTGCAATTTTAAACTTTAATAGTCCTCCTAAAGCAGACCTATTTTTTGTTGTTGTTGCAGACCTTCATTTCTACCAGTGACATAGGTGCATTGATCATTTTTTTAATAAAATAATTTACAAAATAGAGTTTTTGGATCAAAAGATCCAAGTTTCAGAATAAAACAGCATGGAAAATGTTGGTATTTACTGTATGTATCAGATAAACTAAGTTAGAAGAGATATCACTATATGTTTTTGATAAACTGAGATAAAAGCCGTATCACTATATGTATCAGATAAACTGAGATAAAAGCCGTATCACTAAATGTATCAGATAAACTGACCCAGTTGACCCAGCTTATTGATGGCCTCCACTTTGTGTCTCTCTGTGCCAGTCAATATTTTATGACGGATGTTGTCATGGACATCCCTGCCATGACCAGCTTTGCCCAAGCATTGGGCGGCTGCTTTACGTACTTCCTCATGCCAATCATGCCACATCAGATCTGAAAGTTTCTGGCTAATGTCCTGGAGATGCAAATTTATTTTACTTAAAAAAAAAAATCAGCTAAGTTTTTTTTGTATTTTTAAAATTTCACAATATGCAGCTACAAAAAAGTTACCTGTTTAATAAACTTTAGCCAAAACGTTCTTCTTTTATTATCCTGTCTTTCTAATTAAGCTTCCATAAGCCAGTCTTCCATTTCCTTAAACTCAAATAAACAAGTAGGCATATTTTTCATGTTCATATTTTTCATGCCCTTTTGTCCTTATTTCATATGAAATAACAAAGACACCAAGATGCAAGTTTTTGAAGAAGGATGAAGCATTATTGAAGATAAATAAAAGAAATGCATATTTTAGTTGAATCCTTTGACAGTCAAAACATGTGTAACTGTATGCAATAATATTGTATCAATTTGTCACTAATAAATATTCTTTATGTATATGGCTTCAATCATAATAATTAAAAGCATAACATAGCTTGTAGTTAAACCAAGATGTTCACAGCTGGGCCACATCTGACAAATAGCGAAAGCGAAGAGTTATACAATACAAGTCAAAGGATAAACTAAACAATAAAATTGGTGTATGTGATGAAACTTTATTTAAACTCTTTGATGCTAAATTATCGGGCATTTCTGTCAAGGAGGTGGAGAAGTATCTTTGTTGTAAGAACATAAGAAACAAGCCTATCAATCCACACCTCTTTGGGACTATTAACTGAGTCTTTATCTAACTTTGTGACTTACTCGATTAATGGATCCAAACAAAGTAGGTAAAATTTTACAAGCCATGACACGATGCCTCCAGCTGCTGCTGTTGAGTTGTTCAGCAACCATACAGTGGGCTAAAGTCTATGGAAAAATATTATGTTTACTTTAACTATTTATTAGAAAAAAAAAAATGTTATGTTATCTTTTACTAAAATCGAGACAATTTAAAATATGTTCATTTTGTTATAAGTGAAAAGATGTTAAAATTCATTGCAATAACATTCTCAGTTAATAAATGTTAGAAAATCCATTAACAAAATAAGATCAAGCATGAATCTGTTAATTTTAAACCAAATTATAAAAATAAAATTTTGAATTTTGGTCTATTTTAGAAAGAAGTGAGGCTTATTTAAAAGGGAGTTAACTCTAAAATATATTTGCGCAGCTTACACAATAATTGCTTAGCTTTGACAGTAAGTGGATGCCCTGTTCGTATTTAATGACATCCTCACATGACAAGATTTGTTTGATGATTTCTGCGATAACATCAGAGTCTGCTTCCCCATAGTGGGCCAGACACTGAGCTGCTGCCCACCTGTCTATGGATGCTTCGGCCCTCAGCATTTTCCAAAGCATTTCCTTTGCCTGCATTGAAAAATTAGGCCATTTTATATTAAGGGTTCCAAACAGTAGCACAGCTAGGCTTAGTGCTGCTTTTTGCCACCCCCCCCCCCCTTCCATGAAAAAATAACCCTTTAAATATAAAGAAAAAAGTACAAAACGGGTCAGCCCCCTCCACACACCTCTTTCTTTCCTACACCACAGGTTCCAAGTGCATGTAAAGAAATGAAAATAAGTTTCTCCCTTCAAAAAGATTAAATTTGCTATCAGCTTTAGTTGATTTATATTTTACATTAAAAAGAAAAACATGACAAAATTTGAACTTCTAACTTTGTTGCTCGGTCTCTTTAAAGAATAAAGAGTGATAGCTGCAGCCTTCCGAACTTGCTCATGGCTATCATCCAACAGGAATTCTAATGCCACAAAGAGCTTTTCTGGAAGCTGTGTGCCATCAAGCTGCCTCTTGTCTTGTACTGGGTCATCTGTGTCACCTATCGGCCTCAGCTCTGCTGCCTATATAAAAAAGAGAAATTGTGAAATTACCAACAGCAACGCTATAAGGCACAGATTATTATTACCCTGTTAAAATGCAGGAATTAAAGTTTAATTACAACTATGGCTGAGGAATTAAACAATGTCAAATCAATTTCTTATTACCCAGTATAGCAGACAACAACTTTCAAATTCACGATTCTATTTATTTTTAATGAGCTCTTTAGTGCAAAAATTTATTAACAAATTTCTTGAAATAACATAATCTGTTATTTTTAATGAAATTACAATAGCAAGACTTTTGTGCCCAGGGCTAATGGAAAATTAAAACTGAACCATCATTCTTTCCAACAAACAAATTAATCTAACATATTGATTAAAAAAGATAAAAATTACTCAAGATAAAAAATGACATTGTTACTTTGATCCAGCAAATAAACTACAGGGATCTACAAGAATATTGGAAATGGCTTGAATTGCTAACATCAGATAAATATTTTTTTTAACAAGTCATACAAAATCACAGTCTTGCCTTTGCTAATGTACTGATGGCTTTGACTCTGACATGTGGCTGAATGTCTGTCATGTCTCTCAGGAGATCATCTGGGTTACTGTCAGCAAACTGACCACTCAAAAACCACTGACTGCGCCAATCATGTGCTGCAGGGGAAAACATTCACAGTCATAGAGACTTTTTAGAAACTTTTCGAAGACAATGTTATCTTCCACTTCTTGTTTAAAAATTCAAACAATTAACACATATGAAAAATATTCCCCCTTCTGCGAAAACTATCAAAATAATTGTAAAAAATGTATTATGATTTGGTCTCTGAGTATTTTCCCTAAATTTATGCTTTAAAAATTTAACAGTTGAAAATAAGGTTGTTGTAAGTCATGACATTGATTCTTGGGGTAAAAAGAGGGTAATAGGACAAAATGTTGGTAAAAAATGACCTAAAAATTTAAATTCAGTTATTGAGTTCAGCTTTTGCGAAATGAAAGTAAATAAATTTGTTATAGCCTTCTCAGACTTCTTTTATAGACAGTGCGTTAAAACTATTGACTTGGAGGTGAATCAAAGGTTTCGCTGTTTAAAAATCTGATTGACTTAAATTTAAACCTACTTTTTCAAAAATACAATTAATTACATTAAAGTACACTGACCTATGGTCAAAAGTGCATTGTTCTGTTTTACACTTTGAAGTTCATTAGAGTTTGTTGTTTTGTGCTGAACTGATTCAGCATCAATTGATGTTTTAATCATTGTCCCTGCAGAATCCTGGTAACGATATAAAGTTTGATGAATTAAAATAAAAATTTTTTTTTTTACATTTTTAACACTAAATTATAAAAGATGCTTAAATGAATATGTATGGATTTTTCTTAAAATCAATTTTATTGTCACTCATACATAATTAAAAAATGAGAAAAAAGAAATTAAGAATTGGAAGCCTGGTTCAGTCTTTAGGAATAAAAGATATTGCTTTTGCTTCGTAGTAATTAATCAAACACTTGGAAAAAGAGGATCTATCCACTTTTGCATGTTCACAATATTCACAATGGACTTTGTAACAGGCAATAGGCCTGTAATTAATATTATTTTTATTATGGGAAAATTTCCCAATTTGACTTTAACTATAAAAACCAACATCAATAAGCTCAGGCAAGCTTGTCCATCTTTGATGTCCAACCGCTGGGAGGGACAAAGACTTTCCTTTCTGTGCTGCCTCTGAGGATGGCGGGTACCAAATGTCAGGTTTCTTTGGAAACTCTTGCTGTAGATGTTTTCTGTATTTGTGATCTGTCTCCATCTTGATAACATCGGGATCACCACCAATAGTGTAGACTTGTCTATTTCCTAACCAAAATTAAGAAGGTAAAAAGTCTGTGGTGTACTTGAGTTGACTGGAGAGACTGGGGGAGGGGTGAGTGTTGCCCACTCAAGATGACAGAAAATAAGTCAGTTATTGAATTGTTAACAGAAGCTTTCCATCAATAGACCACACAAAAATTGAAAAGTACAGAGAGGGAAATGCATTCTGTTTGATTAAATTAACACTTTTAGGTAATTGAGTGTCCACTTAAGGTACCGGTAGTTGAAAACAATGATTAATAAATAATATGAAAAAAGCAATTATAAATAGAACAAGAAGTCACATAAAAATCACTGCTAATAAAATGAAGTAAATAATGGTGGAGATTTGAATTAAACCAGTTTCAAAACTCATGACATAGATTGTGTGTAAACTGTTCCTCTAAACTAATGTGAATATTTTAATTTGACCAATACAGATAATTTTAATTGTCTTTTAGATAGCAAAACAGATATTGAACAAAAGATCTTTAAGTTATCCACAGTTTTACTTATCCCAAATTAAATAAATCCCAATTAATTGGTGGTGAAACTTTGCTGTTTTCAAGCTCAAAAAGCAAAACATCTTATGAATTAAAAATGTTGATTTGTTATAACATGAAGGGTTTCTTTCAGCTATATCTCCGGAGAAAGCCAAGTGCGCCCTGGAGCAAATTTATGTCCAACAATAAATCAACTGGAACTGCTGGAACTGCTGGACCCGAAAATCTGAAGTGCCCTCCAGGGGGAAAATTTCTGAAAGAAACACAGATAACATGGATTTAATTTCAATAGTTGGTTTTAAAAATGTGAACTTTGAAGATATTGCAAGTTTTGAATGACATTATTGAAGAAATAAAATGAAAGCAGCTCAGAAATGTTATAAGTTACAAAATATATGTGAAACAAGAATTAAAAATACATTCTTACAAGATATCTTATTCTAAAATTTTACAATTTCATTTTAAAATGTAACAAATTTCTTAGCATAAAATGAAATAATTGCAGGAATCCTTACCCATAAGCCACTCCTGCTGGAAAAGATCGTTTGTTTGATAGATCTTGTCACCTACGCGAGAACTTAGGAAATCTTTTAGTGTTCGTTGTGGTGATTCACATCGCTCTTTGATGGTAATCTGGGCAGTTGAATTTATCAAACCTTAAAATATAATATATTTTTTACAAATATTATATGTCTACTCACTTTGTAAACAATGCATGGTGGCAAAAATTAGTTATCTAATTTAAAATTACTTATGCGCTTTTACAGTCACCTATTACAAAATAATAGTTGAACCGTTTATTTTGTATGTTATTTCCTTTAAAAAAAATCTATTTTAAATGTTCCACTATTCTGATGTCTCTTGGCAGTACAGTGGAACCTCTCATAACAAGCACCTCTCATAACGAGTAATTCGCATAATGAGCAAAAAAAATGTGAAGAAGTTGCTCCCTTAACGAGCAACATTTCGCATAACGAGTTACGCAGAAAGGGGAAGTCCCTTTTTCCATCACTTCTGCTTGGAAAAAACTTTGGCCAGAGAGTGTTGTTAAATGTGATTTTGAAACAGTACCTGTGGAGTCTACAGTTAACGAGATTGTGTCATTGGCCGCTCATTAATGGAGGAAGAAGTAGCAGAGCAACAATCTTCTACCGCAATAAGCGAAATGCTGAAAGCATGGGAAACTGTTGCATCATACATTGAGAAGCATCACCCTAATAAGGAGGTGGCTATTCGTGCTACATATTTATTCAATGATAATGCTGTGACACATTTTCGTCAAATTTTGAAGTGTCAGCAAAAAAAAAAGGTTTAATGTCTTTAGACAGTTTTCTAGTTAAAAAGGATTGATTATTTGTCATACATTCATATTTTTATTTAAGTTGTTTGTTTCAAATCTAAATTGTATTCCAAGTTGTTACACTCATTAACAATTCATAAGTAATTTAATTTGAATAAATGTTAATAAAATTTTTAAAAAATGAGTATTTTTTCAGCTTGGAACGCATTATCATATTTTACATTGATTTGTATGGGAAAAATTGTTTCGTTTAAGGAGTGTTTCGCTTGACGAGTAAGAGTCTGGAACTAATTATGCTTGTTATGAGAGGTTCCACTCTATTTGTTTGTTATTTTTGTTGTTGTCATTTCCACAAATATTTGCTTTAACATTGAACAGCATAATAAAAAGCCTCACAACCAAAGATGTTGCTTAGCAGTTTTACATGCAACTTTAGTATTTAAAATTGAATTTTTAATACCACAAGAGAAAAGCCATTGTAAATGAAATCCATTATTTTTCAAGAATTAATTAAAAGGATAGATAAATTAAATTTACAATTCAGAAAACTGTGCTGAATATTAAAAAAAAAAAAAAAATTAATTTTAAATTGTCTACTTTCATAGTTACATTACTGAGATATAAATGGTTGTAGCACACATTTGGATTTAAATTAAAAAAAAACCCAGACACAACAACAAACTTAACAAAAGAGCATTAGAAAATGTCTTTTGTTGCTTTCAAAATAGGCTACAATGGAATTCATGGTACAAACCTTCTTCCTCTTTGATCTCTACTCTTCTCTTATTTCTAATTCCTGCTGGCTGTCTATAAAATGGGGCTTTGTTTTCATCTGAATATGGATCTAATGCCTTATTTGATAGTGGTTCTGCACTTCCAATAACTGAGAGCAATCTAAGGATAATTGTAGAATTTTGTTGATACTGCAATATTATTTTAAAGATTGAAATATAAGTAGTCATAGTGTACAGGCTAACAATTAACAAAACTATTAATATAAATAGTAATATTAAGTTATCCTGGAAACACCTTTCAACGGATAATGTGAGCTAATACACAGACAAATATGCGACTGAAGTATTTAGTCATGTTACATGTTTTGGAAAATAAATGACTCCTTTTCAAATACACATTTATTAAAGTAATTTCCTAGTGCAGCTAACCTGTTTTCATTTATGAGATTGTGAAATGAATTTTAAATTACATCAACACATATACCGTACAAAAATAATTTAATAATTTACCTAGCTTCCTTTTTCTCCCACTTTTTCTTTGGCTTTTCAATCTCTTTACTCTCCTCACTGTCACTCAACTCTTCCCTGACAAGATCAGTATGGGTTGGTGGTCCATACCAGGATTCAAGCAAACCTGTCAGCTTTTCTTTCTGTTTATCAGGAGGCATACACTCATGTACAATCCAATTGGCTGTCAACTGACTTAATCCTGATAATAAATAATCATCCCAGTCATGGTTTGCCTCCTCTTGATTATGAGTAGATTTACCATCAAGTTCAACTAAATCTTTTTTAAATTCTGTTGTTTCTGCAGACATTGTGGGTTTTTGTCTGATCACAGGAATGTTGTCAGCACAAGCCTGTAAGTGTATTTCTCTAGTATTGTCTTTTGTTTTTGATGATCTTGGTTGTTCAAGTGGCTTTAGCTTTGGTGCTTTATGCACTCCTTCATCAGTTGTTTCAGTCAAGAAAAACTGTGCTGCATTTTTTAATGTATCATTGTCAGTATTTTTAGATTTTTTGTAATTTGGTGAAAAAGTAAGTGCTTGCTGGTGAAGCTGAATTGCTTTTTCTTTCACATTCTTCTGTAATGGAGCTAATGTCTGTGGGTTTGTCTTTTCCTTTAAAGCTCTTGGAGCCAGTGGAATATCTAAACTGCTTTTAGATCTTTTTCCAAGTTTTCGTTTTCCTATTATTTTAGTTGGGTTAAAAACATTTTCAAAATATTTTTGGTTATAAGGCATCATATGAAGGCATCTGTCTTCAATAACATCATCTGTAAATGATATATCTGAGCTAATCATTTTAACATATTTCCTGCAAACTGGATTCTTATCTTGATTGATGATTGTCATGGGAAGTTGATTCCCCATTTGATTTTTTCCTAAAAAAGCCTTGATCTTGGCATCCTCTGCTCCACCAATATGGGGCATTTGCACCCCTGTAGCACAGGGAAAAAGCATTCCCCAGCTTGCTCTTATTGGTAGGTTGCTAGCCATGTTTCCCAAATAATAAATCAATGCATCTGTAAACAGTCTGTTGAACAAACAAATAAATAAACATCTAATAATATATAATATATAATTTTTGTTTTAGTTTGTATTACTAATCAAGGAAATATATAAACTAACAATACTCAATTCTTTCTAACTAAACTAAGACTAAGACTAAGAGTCAGAAGTTTAAGTGTAAGTGTTTAAGTGTGAGATATATTATTATATTATATAATATAATGTTTAAAATTGTGCAAAGACTAACTAAGTCGACTAAGACTAAGACTATAAGATACTTAAGAAAAGATAAAAACATTATTTAATAATAGTTATTGTAGTTGAATCGATAGTAAATAAGTCAACAAAGTGCGAAAACTGTTGATTTGTTAGTAGTTAATCATAGTTAATGAAATAAAGACATTGACTTTGACTATTAAAAAAAAAAATATAATAATAATCAACCACAGATAATCATAGTATCAGTATTAGTATTAGTATAGCCCCTCATACTCATACTAATAATGATAATAATTAACAATATAATAATAATATTATAATATATTATCAATATATAATTGATATTATATTGAATATTGAAATCTGAATTTATATTATAGTACAGTACAGACTACAGTATAAATAGCTTTAGTTAAGAATTTTAAAAAAAATTCTAGTATAGTATAGTATAAGTATCAATAATTTATGAATTTATGAAATGATATATTATCTCATCTACTCATCTTTCTTATTAACAATTTACACGCCTTAAAAATGGAAAAGTCTTGAAATTATTTTTAACGTGACAACAATTAATATAGATCAGATGAAAAATTTATTTTGCAAAGTAAATTTCAACAACATACCTTCAAATTAACATAAATAAGAGATATAAACTTTGACTAAGCGGCCATAGCGTAAGCTACGGGAATGTTGCTATGCAAATAAAACTGCTCTTTTCATACAGAAGAGCTAATGCAATAATTTAGAAACGAAAAACTTCTAAATTTTTAAAGGAATGTATTTGATTGATCTGATCCTCAGGAAAAAAAAAAGGAAAAAACATCAGCAACAAACAAAAAATATATATATTTTTTTCACATTTAAATTCAAATGAGATTAAGTTAGTAAGTTACATTTCTTTCTGTCTTTCTTATTTCAATTTATCGTTGCATGTGTCCCATTTGGTTTCATAGATTTTTAAATACATAAACAACAATGTCGAACAAACGCAATGGTCAACAGTGACCATAGACTAAAGTTAATATGCGTTTAATTTAACTCTTTTTTTGTGGTGAATTTGGGGGGAGGGGGTAAATATGTAAGCCCTACATACGCAGTTGGGGGCGAGGGGATTGTGATTTTAAGTTTTAGCTTACCAGTGCATATGAGATATATAGGCACAAAAAGAAGGGGTAAAAAAAAAGGGGGGGGGGGTGGGGGGGATTGGGGAAAGCCGGTTCTAGACAGCATGTTTGCGGTACATTTTAAATATGCATACTTACTACAATATAAATAATTATACAGAAATTCTAAAAGTACATACATACGAGGTGGCCCAGATAAAAGGGAGAGCATCTCGAAACAAAGGGTTCTATCATTGAATTAATAGAATGTTTTGCCCATTAAACTTGGATGAAAATAATTACGCTAATCAGAAACATGTCCAGTATAGTACCCCCCTCTTCCAAGTTTTCCCCAGGATGGCTTGCGCTAGACTTGGGGAAACTCACACCACTTTGCTCGAGGTGGTGTGCACGTGATCTGCCTCTTCGTGGCGTGGAAGACCAGTATAGGGCATGCTCCCTGAAGCCAAAAGATCACATGTCCCTATCGGAAGACCCACTAAGCTAGGGGGGGGGGGTAACGCAAAGCCCCCCTCCACTGGGAGGAAGATATTTTGCTCAAACCCCAAACTTTCTTGCAAAACACATGACTTCTAACGCAACGGAAGTTAAGCGCTAACATGATTACGTGTTGCCGGTAATGGGTATGAGGTAGTGGGTTCTAAACCCTTGCCAGTGATTAAAAAGACGTGGCCCTGAGAAAGCCACCCCTAGGCGACCGTTTCGTCCCGACATGTCCAGTCCGAACAGCTCCCAGAGCGGTGGGTCGAGGCAACGCAACGCCTCCCCCGGAGAGGAAGTNGCTTTATTTTGGCGCTACGTGTATGCTCCCGACAATCACCGATGTCATCAAATTTTTTTTGGGCCACTGTACTGTATGGTCTGACCATCATTATAGTGATACATCTCAAACAGGGTCAACTGTCGCCTAAAATTATGTGAAATTAATAACTGCATTTTTGGGGGTAGTTATCGTCATACTATTGTTTTGTGGTTTCCAAAAATGAATTTAACTCACTGGATATTGCATCAGTGATTTATAGCTGAGAGGTTCATCCATTGTTGTCACGCTATTTTGGCCGATTAGTTATCTCACATAGGTGTGGGTTGCTGCCCGCCCGGGTGGGCCAATCTGCACACATTGTGGTTTCCTGGATCTAAGAGGTTGGGGGGGGGGGAGGAGGGGCCGGTTATGCCATGTTTAGCATAACCCCCAGGTCAAATTCCAAAGCCAGTGTTGGGTGCGGGTGGGAACATCTCTGTTTCGTAACGGCGTCGCATGCAGCGTCACATCAACCAAATATACATTTAAAACTGTCAGCTGCCACTCACCACTCGGCTTCAGTTTTTGGGGTCACGAGCAGAGTAAAATGTGTGTCAACAATCACCTGCCCATTCTTGATGTGTGTCAACAATCACCTGCCCATTCTTGATGTGTGTCAACAATCACCTGCCCATTCTTGATGTGTGTCAACAATCACCTGCCCATTCTTGCCGCTCGGTCACAAGTGTTTCATTAAATTAAATGCTGTGTCTTATTGGTTATCTTTTGACATATTATTTGTTTAAACAATATTTGGAGACAACTTAAAAAAATATATATTTGCCATCCTAGACGCAGTCAGTGTTTCTTTCAGTCAAGGGGGAGCGGGGGAGTGCCAATGGACAGAGGCGTAGCTAGGGGGAGACCAAGGGGACTGATGTTCCCGGCACCTGACTAGCCGGGGCACCAAAATGAGTTTTAAGAGTATTTAACTGAATAAGTTAATGGGTTATAGATATGAAGTGTGTGTGTGTGTGTGTGTGTGTGGGGGGGGGTAATGAATATTTTTCCCTGGCACCAAACACTCTGGCATAGAAACCCCCATCTACACAACATGTAACGTCAAGAATCAACATGTAGTTTTGCTCGATTTAAGTAACTCTATAAACATGGTGTTTTGTTGGTTTGCCTGCCAATAATTTATATCGTGATCCTCTTGTTATCAGGAACTAAAGTTTGGATATTTTCACAAAATTTTACTATAGGCTTCAAGTGCTCAGAGGTGTTTAAATAGACCTTGTACATCAATCGTGTTTAATTCGTTTGTATTAAATGAAAAACGTTAGTGCTCATTCACGACCAATAAATTATGACTTCGAATTTGATTCGCTAAACATGAATTAATTTTTTTTTTTTTTTTTTTTTTTGTTAAAAATATTTTTTAAAATCAAAATTGTGTGAAAGATTTTCAAACGTATTTTACGCGTAGGCTCATTTGTAGGCTCATTTGTTCATTTGTAGAATTCTGCTCTAGCCACTTTGGCCAATGAAGCGAAATAACCCAACGAAAATGAAAAATCTCGCTAGGGCGAAGTAACTTGACCTACTTGTCAACGTGCCTGTCCTCGGTATGGAGCGATTCTTCCGCTAGTGTTCCGAGAATTTTCAGTGAAGGGATGCTACTACCTTGAAATTTTCAATTTTGCAAAGAATAACGATAACCTATTCAGCATTATATTATCATGCCTGATCCACTAAAACTGGTTAGACGTAGTCCTACATTATGCCATCACTTCTAAGACGTAGTCCTACATTTTGCCATTAAACTTCTAAGACGTAGTCCTACATTTTGCAAAACTTCTAAGACGTAGTCCTACATTTTGCCATTAAACTTGTTTGACATAATCCTAAGGGATCCATTAATTACGTCAAAAACTTTCACGCAATTTTTGACCCCTTACCACACCCGCTCAACCTTCGCTGCCCCCCCCCCCCCTATTTAATTATGTCAACATTTTATTTTAAAAAAACGCCCCCCCCCCCCACCAAATGAATTATAACATAAATCAATTTATAAATACATTTTACTTTAAGCAGATCTATTTAAATGACACATTCAATTGTAGGGAATTTTTTTTATTGCATGTTTAGCTTGTTAATCAACAAGTTAAAAAGTTTTTACACTAAATTTTATAATGCAGAATCACTTAAAAGGTTGTTAAGGACTAAATATCATGATTATTGTCAGTAGGCCTATAGCTGACAATTATAGCATAGTCTCTAGCTTCTATTGTCTTCCCATGGAGTAGCCAGGTGTTGCTGTATCGTAGCAATGGGCATCAGGGACATCATTTGGGTAGGGCCGGGGGGGGGGGCATTTGCAGCCCGATTTTGCTGGTTTTATTTAAATTGCTATGTATTTTGGCGCCTGCAGTAATAAACAACTTAACAAGCCGATCAAGTTTCGGTTTCGCCCCCCAACCATCCCCCCCCCAAACGCCCTTCCCTTGAAAACGCACTGAAATGACGCCCCTGGACATAGTTTATAGTAGCTGATATATCATTTTCATCTTGCGGAACTGATATACCAGATACGTCAATATCATCCTTATCTAACCATTCAGCACTTAAAATAGAACTATTGTCGATGTGAGCAATAAATGCCATAAGCTCTCTCTGTCTTTGAGTTTGTATAGTTGTTATTGAACACCGATGAGTTGGTGTTTTAGTTTTAATTGGACACCGTGTACAAATGATGTCTTAATCATACTATGGAGTGGATTAAGAGAAAAATGACAGGTGAAGAGATGCCAACTTTTGACTTCTCTTGCACTAACAAAGTGTGCTAACATTCTGACCAACCATCTGCAGTGCACAGACAGACACACATTCAATAACTCATATATTGTTAAAAGCCTAAACATAGAGGACTATTTACACTCATTCAATTGTTTAAAATAATGTAGGAACCAGTCAATTGTTCAGATTAAAATATTAAACCCTTATTATGTAGTAGGCACACTGATGTAAGGCCACTGTAGTAAGCACACTGATGTAAGGCCACTGTAGTAAGCACACTGATGTAAGGCCACTGTAGTAAGCACACTGATGTAAGGCCACTGTAGTAAGCACACTGATGTAAGGCCACTGTAGTAAGTACACTGATGTAAGTAAGGCCACTGTAGTAAGCACACTGATGTAAGGCCACTGTAGTAAGTACACTGATGTAAGTAAGGCCACTGTAGTAAGTACACTGATGTAAGTAAGGCCACTTTAGTAAGTACACTGATGTAAGTAAGGCCACTGTAGTAAGTACACTGATGTAAGTAAGGCTACTGTAGTAAGTACACTGATGTAAGTAAGGCCACTTTAGTAAGTACACTGATGTAAGTAAGGCCACTGTAGTAAGTACACTGATGTAAGTAAGGCCACTGGAGTAAGTACACTGATGTAAGTAAGGCCACTGTAGTAAGTACACTGATGTAAGTAAGGCTACTGTAGTAAGTACACTGATGTAAGTAAGACCACTGTAGTAAGTACACTGATGTAAGTAAGGACACTGTAGTAAGTACACTTTTTTAAGGCCACTGTTAAGAAAAAAACCTTCCCCCCTCCGCCTTGTCAACAACTGTCAAACATTTCCACTCCCTCCCCCCCCCCCCTATTTTGTTGACTTAATTAATGGACGCCCACATTTTTCATAATTAAATATTTAGACGTAGTCTTCCATTTGTCATAACTAGTTAGACGTTGTCCTACAATGTCCATAAATTGTTGGATGTAGTCCTACATTTCGCGACAATTATAATTCTCTCCCCCCCCCCCCCGACG